TGGCTACTTTGTGTTGACCTCATGTTTCACCAACAGTGTTAAAACGTCCCAGCTGTAGTGGCGATGGGTACCGGAAGTGAGCACAGAGCCAATGGAGACTGCAAAGTAAACGCTTCTTGTGTTTTACAAAAGTAAAAAGGGACATGGCAGTAGGCTGATTGTTGGAAGAAACCTTCTCGCAGTAGAAGGCTAGGTGATGGTTTACCATTAAATAAGCAGTTCCTGACCTGTTCTTAATTTGTGAGCTGTGTTCGCCATGGGGAGATGCGTTTTGACAAGCTGCTGCTATTTTGGTCACAAAAGAATTATCATGGCTATTTCTGCTCTTGTGTGCTTAACATACTGTACCTGGATGTAGACACTGAAGCGGTGAGGGGAGCTCCAAAAAGTCTAATTTTCGGCAGTCTTTATAATTGAATATAAATATAAGTTATAATTTAGATTTTTAATTGTGCATCTCTGGACATCTTTGAAATGTGCAGTGCTCAAAGTTGTCCAAATGTTCTGTACAGTATTTTAATTGCCCTGTGAAAAGCATCAGCTGAATGACTGATCATGATAATTGCTTTCATTGTTAGCAGCCCAATATGTTGTACCGTTTGAATGTTGACAATGATGGTTTTCTTTAGTCTTTAGATGTGCTTTGGGTAAAACATTGTTGAAAACCTCGAGCTCTCAAGGTAACAAGCAAATGTTCTTTATTCTTACAAAACCGCCTACACATTTTGGCTAGACATACCGATTAAGGTAAGTCTAGCCGGAACTTGTTGGCGTTCATAAACAGTTAAGGGCTTGTAATAGTTTTGCTTTTAGTTTTATATTTTTGCCATTGTGAATGGTGCCTATTTCAGCTGCTTAAATTTTTAGATTGTGAAATTAGTATAGGTCACCACAGTTACATAACGCCACCTGTAATAAACTTTTACCCAGAGTAGTCCTATCAGGTCCTATACCCTTAAAATAGTGTTTATGTGGTATTATAAGTTCTTTTTTTACAATCTTGAATCTGATTTCATTTTAGCTTGTCTATCTTCACAGATGTGTTCATGTTTTTCTTGTAGAATAGGTTAAAGTTGAATTCATGCTCTTGGTTGTTGATATTGTTGAAGAAATTGCATCAGAAAGAATATTAAACACAGGGTTGTATCACAGTCTGCTTAAAAGTTAAGTTTCCAGGGATATGGTGTTTTTAGAATTAGATGGAAATGTAAAACTAACTTTCTTTGTGTACTTATTTGTCAAATTCTAAGTTTAAGTTTAATGTGGATAAAAAGGCTAGGGAAAAAATGTATGGAAATGTCTGCTTGTTAAGATTACTGATTTGTGATTCCCCAGTTCATAAGCCTAGCAATAGAAATCTACCTTAGGCTTAAATAAATGCAGTATGTATAGGCCACGTTCTGTTTCATTATTCGTAATTCAAAACTTTAGGTTTATTACGTGCTGGGAATTATTCAAAAGTGACATATGAATGATTAAACTTAATTTCTAAATGGGAGGGTCATTCTGTTTTCTTTTATGTATTGATCTTCTCATCCTCCTGTAGTAAACAGTATGCTGTAGGAGTACATTCAGCCATACATGATATCAACATGTAAAAATGATGTTTGTGGTCTGTGATCATAAGCTCAAAATATCAATTGCTAATAAAACTATTTACTTCCAGTACTTGACTGTAGGACTCGGTTCCTCTTCATAGAGTTCTTTGTTCAGGATTCAAATGATTCCATTCAGCAGCAGCAATGTCTTTTTTGTAACGCGGTAACATAGTACACAGTATTCCAAATGTGAACTTACTAGTTTATTGTTAAAATTTGATCTTGATTTAGCTATATATTCTGACATTAACTTTGCCTTTTATGTTGCTTCTCCTCATTGTCTAGAAGATGTAAATGTCAACATAACCTTTTTTTTAGCCAAGACGTTTTTTGAAAGTAGCCTCTTACTCAGTGGTTTCCATCAATAGTTTACTACCTTCATGCAACGTCTTGTACTTGTCTACATTAAAACATCTGCCAGTCTTCTAAATCTTTTTTGAATTTCCTATACAGCTTTTACAACGGGTTTTGTGAATCCTCCTATTTTGTTTTTTTTTAACTTGACTTTTTTGTAAACTAATCCATAACCAATAAATTTCCTTTAGGAAGGGCAGTGGTCATAGTTCAGATCACTGTAACACTCCACTAATTGCACCACCCCAGTGGTTTTCTATTTAAAAACTTTCTAAAAATCATGTTACTATTGTTGCTTGTTCTAAGAACTCAAGTATTAATTAAGTAAGACTTACCTTTTTTTTAAGTCTTTGATGGCTGTTCTCTGGAATCTTATTCCATGCAGGTGATCCTCCAGTTTAGTTGTTTCCATTACCTGTAACAGAAGTTAGAACTTTGACCTATAATTACTTTGTACAGTTTTCTCACCCCTCTTATGGATAAGCACTACATCTGCAATTTTTCAGACCTGCATACTGTCTTAAGAGAATGTGGAAAGTGTTCAGTCAATAACATATTGTTGTCAGTATATTTTACTTCAACTTTCAGCATTCCTTTTCTGGTTTAATCCTGAAAGAAGCTTTTATTTAAACCTCCAGTGCAACATTCCTTTCTGTATCTCAACCTCATACTTTTTACCTGTGCTCACAATTCATTGTACATTTTTTCTTTTAAGATTCCACTTTAGAATTTTTTTGCTTTTATTTTTCTGATTGATTTGTTAAACCATTTGTTTATCTTGATTTAATCATTCTTGGGCTAAAGCAGTGATATGCCACGTTTTTACTTGAACTCTTGCCATCCACTCATAAATTACCTTTTGTACATCCTCTGAAAAACTGAGTAAGAAAGCAGTAGTTAGCCATGTTTACCATTTCAATTTATGCTGCTGAAATTCCATGTGGTTTTTCCCACTCTGTGTAGAGAAAGTTGAAATTCCCCTTAAAATACACTTCTTTATCCAGTATTAAATGATATCTGTATTTGGAAATCTGTAACATTGTTAATGCTGTGTCTTTTAAAATGTTTTTAAGAGTCTAACCCACATTAAATTTGAGACCTTTGATTCATCTAGGCTGTTTGAGAGCCTGAGTACTCTTTCTGATATTTAGTGCTACACCTCCCCTTCTGTCTTTCCCATCTCTCTGGAACAGCGTATATTCATCTCCATTGCTAGGCATGCTTCTGTGATTCAATCACATCATAATTGCCTGCTAATGTGGTAGCTTTTGTCTCATGCATTCTAGTAGTCCCAGCATTCATGTATAAACACTTAATTGCCTGTTCCTTTCTTTTGATTTTCCCTTGGGCTCTTCATTTTGGATTTTCCTTTTATATTTTCTCTGGTTTCTCATCCCATTTCCAGTGTTTATGTACTTTTTACACTGAAACAGTGCTCTGTGTACAGCACTGTCCTGAAATGGATGTTGTTTAGACCCATGTCTGAAGAGGATGATGGAAAATTGAACTTTAAGTAGCATGAATAATTAGGTCATTGATTGTTTCCAGCTGTGAGAATTAACTGAAGACCCTACTAAGATCTGAAACATGGACCACTGTAGCTTTAATGTGAAGCATCAAGAACTATAAAGAAATTAAACTGTTTTTATAGTTTTGTATGGTTTTCAAATGTATGCATCTGAGCACAAATAAAAAATTGTAGTTCTGTCACAATTAAAATGTATTAACATTTTGATTTTTGATGTGTAATAAATGTTAGAAATGCCTATGTGAAAGAATATTCCAATGAATAAGTAGGTATCTGTTGTCCACTAAATGGCATCTATGTTGTAAAATCTTAGCACAGACTACATTGCATAGCTCTGTGAAATGAGCTACATTTGTTGTGCTACTGGATGGTAGGAAAAGGTAATTAAGGTGAACTAATCCCAGATGCAGTTGAGTGCAGGAATTAATCTTGCCTTTTCCGACAATCTAATTTTTGGAGTGCCCTTACTGTTACTGAAGCACTGGCAATATACAGGCACGTAAGATTTGGTAACCCGAAATACACTGCATGCACTGTTCTCCTCGGTGGTGCAATGAGAATTATCTTGTAAAGATGGTAGATTACAGGAACAGAGGTTTCTGAATGCAGTCGAAAGAGCCTTTACCTGAAGGTGTGAGTCGGACCAAAGCAATGTATTGAGCATTTTCTGTTGAATAAAAAATGCACATCAAATTAGGTCAAACAAATTTAGCAAATTCTAAAATCTTGATTTTCCATTGGCTTTTTTTTAGCAGCACTACACCTGCTTATCTTCAATGTACTATTGAGGTTTAAATTCAGTCCCATTTCAGAAGCAGTGCTAAAGACAAAATTTAAGCTACGAAGGGGCAGGACTTCATTCATTATATATCGGATTCAGATAATATACCTCAAGTACATTTCTCATGCAGTCACCAACTGTCCACAAGTCTTGTTTTCCATTCCATGTTTTTGTTTTCAGAACTGCTCGTCATATCTAATGTTATTTTTGCGTTCCTGGAACTTGGATATATATTTTTTCGCTTTTGAGGGAAGCCTGTGCAGTTTTGTTTTGGGTGGAAAAAAATTAGTTTTCCTAGGTTGCCAAAAATGGAATGGATTTTTTTCCCTGTTGTACATGGCTAACTCTAGTGAGCAGTTCTTATTCTAAAGTTATTGTAGTAGATATTTAAATAGTTTGTATATTAGACCTGACAAGATGGAAGAGCACTGAGTGCGTTATATAGCAAAGTTTAAATCTCCAAGATGTACCAGAATTGCTAAAATGAGTAAAAAACCTCAGTTATGAAAAGGTTTTTTTCCATTTTACATTGATGCGTGTTTTTTTCTTTTTCCATTATGAAGGTCTCTTTTATGTGAGGTTAGCTTTGTTTGACAGATGCCAATGAAACAAAACTAAAAGCAGATCTCAAATAAAAGAGGCCTATTTGTGTGTTTCTTCATGTTTTAATCATCGTGGTATTTTTGAATGAACCATGCCCCATGTTTACATCATTTTTTTTTCGATTTTCTGTGCACAGCAATTGCTCTGAAATTTGGGGACTGAGTACACCAAATACGATAGATCAGTGGGATACCTCAGGCCTTTACAGCTACCCTGACCAATCCAGGTGAATATTCTCAACTACATCACGTATTACAGATCAGTGGATGGAGTGAGAAAATGTGGAGTTTTGGAAATGCTTCATTATTTTGCCGATAAATATCAGTGTGATTTGATTTCAGGGGGACATTTGCTGCTTAATTTTGCTTCTTTTTATACTTTTGTACACATTCTTCAGGAAATGAAACAGCTGACCTAATAAATTAAGGCTTTGAAAACAAACCCTTTATAGTTTTAAGTATACATTCTGGAAAATGAATTTGGATTTTCAATCCCAGAGGTTTTGGTATATAGCTCATTTAATGGAACTATGTTACCTTTGTTTTTATTCAGTTTTTGGTGGGTTTTGCTCACTACTAACAAATAACTCTACCCAAAATTTAGCAAAGATTTCAAATAACGATTTTGTATTATGATTCTATATAATTATTTATACTAATAATTGTAATATAATGCATTATTTGCTCTAATAGCCATGGCAGCAGGCTGCCGATTGGCTGTCAGCTGACCAATGTTATGATAGCTATACCAATTTAAGAACATAGTAAGCTTTTTTTGAGTTGCTGCTATCATTTGTTTTGATTCTTAATTACCCTTTTTAATATGGGAACTTTAAAAAAAAGATGTTTTAAAAAAGTACTTGAATGGACTACTTTACTTCTATAAATAAATTAAATAAATGTTCTTAACTTTTGAAACCTCTCAGTTGTTTCTCAGTTCTAATTCTACATGAGGAGTAGCTCTGATTCACCTTGCATGGTGTTGAATTTGCCTCATGTTCTTCTTTCTCTCTCAATTCCAGGTCTCTTGATGGCCGTCTGCAGGTCTCCCACCGTAAAGGCTTACCACATGTCATCTACTGTCGATTGTGGAGGTGGCCTGATTTACACAGTCACCATGAGCTGCGAGCAATTGAGACCTGTGAATATGCTTTTAATCTTAAGAAGGATGAAGTGTGTGTCAACCCTTATCATTACCAGAGGGTGGAAACGCCAGGTATAAAGATGACTTACATTTCTGTTGATTTTGAAATCAGTGGGTATTTACATCTGCATGAGGTCTATGATATCTATGATATCATATGGTCATGATATCTATGACCTTTGCATGAGGTCATAGAAAACATAATAGAAAAAAAGATCTAGAAAAAATTGAGCTTGCTGTATGGAGAACAAATTGAAGATAAAGATGTGCTCCTGCCTTGAAAACTAGGTAGGAGCACATAGTCTGTCTTGTGGTACTGTAGTCTGCTGTCTCAAACAGCTCAGGAGGGTATTTTTCTGCTCTGAGCTAGTGTAAGATCCGAGTTGATTTGCAACTGACAGTTGCTGTAGAACAAGTCACTCGACACTTGACAAACTTTTAAGCCTTTTCATGTTCACCGAGATAAAACATGCAAAATGAACTTGTAAGTAAACTGAGCATATTTCCTTTTCTTCAGCTTTGCAGCTATTGTTCTTAATATTTTTTTTTAATTTGTGACTAATTGTGACCCTAAAATGTTTTTTTGTGACTAATTAGTATACACTGCATACATTTACATTTGTTTTCCTATTAATATATTCCATGATTCAATAGTTAATACAATGCAGAACACAAAGGCATTAACCTTCTTTATGCCTATTATGAATCTGCATTTTCAGATATTAAGAAAGAGATTAATATGTAATTCAAGTATATGTGCATGTTCGTTAGGTTTTTATAAACAATGAATCGAAATTTGGCCGCAATTCAGCATCCAGCTAATCAATCATAAATGGAAATTTTGTCCTAAAAAACTACAGGAGTATTGTAAACTTTTTTCAGAGCAAGAAGTATCATATTTCAAAAGTAATTTAGGATACTGTAAATAGCAAAAGGGTATGCATTCTAAACCCTTAATGAGCAGAGTAATTAAAATCATTTTCAAAATTTAAAGGAGTGCTAAGGGATTTCTAAAAACCTGAGAGATTAAATTAGTTACACTTGCTTGTAAGTATCAGGACAAAATATTCCAAATTAACTGTTTGGTCTTGAAATATATTATTATTGCAATAATAAAATGCATATGGTTGTGTTTCAGTATTAATAAAATAGGCTCTTCTAACAAATTTTTGACTTACCATGCAGTATTATCCTTAGAGAAACTGGATGGTTAGCTTTAGAGAATGTTCTGCGCTCTAGCAATATTTTGAACTATATGAACCATATCTTTGACCACACTTGACAGTTTTGTTTGCCTCTCCATGAGAAGGATTTAAATTGGTGAAGCAGGTATTTATTTTGTTCTGGAAGGGGTGGATAGCTTTGGTGTCCAGTTTATGATGCATAAGTTCCTGTGAATGTTTTTTACTATCCCTGAATGTCATAAGAGAGCACTTGCATTATGCATTTTAGTTTTTTAAATTCTAATCTCCTAAATCCATGACTGGTTACTCCTTTTGAACACATGAAAGACAGGGCTGAGAAAGGGCTGTAATGTATGAAATTAATCTAAAATATTATATAAACACATTATCAAGTGGGGAGTTGTAGTGTAGTGTTGGATAACATTGGTTTTCCCTACAGGTCTGTGTAGATTTGGTTGTTGTTAATGGAAACGGGTACATAACTGCTGTTTTTTTTTTATTTCAGTTTTGCCGCCTGTCCTTGTGCCAAGACACACAGAAATTTTAACAGAACTGCCACCACTGGATGATTATACTCATTCTATACCGGAAAACACAAATTTCCCAGCAGGAATTGAACCCCCAAACAATTATATACCAGGTAATGCTGATACTGTCATTGAGCAATATCAGACTTGTTCAAAGGGTATTCTCACTGTAAAGGGGGCTGTAAGAGCACTCAAACAATACCATTGTATTGCATTTATTAATGTTGTGATTTGTCAGTCTTTTATAGTGTGGATAGTGTAATTCATTGCAGTTATCATAAACTAGGATTAACCAATTAGGAGCACTGATATTGTTTTTTTTAATTTGATTACTGTTTCACAAAATTCATATTGTAATGTTTATTCCTTTCTTTCCTTAATCTACTTTATCCATTGTATCTTTAGAAACCCCACCACCAGGATACATCAGTGAAGATGGAGAGACAAGTGATCAACAGATGAATCAAAGTATGGACACAGGTACATTGCCTGTTGTGTGCAGTTCGGAATCACTTAATCCTAGACGTGAGAGCTAGAAGTAGTCTAAGTCTGCTATAGTTAGTATTTGCTTGTTAAATTACCCAGAAGGCTTGTTTAATGCTAAACAGGTTATAAGTGAAGACTATTGTTTGCTGGAGAAAGTTGGATTGACAGCTTTCCTCTTGAATTTGACAGTTTTCAAATTGCTGTCAAAAATGCAGCGTCAGACCTATTTAATTAGCATGAGTATTTTCTCGAAGCCAGATAAGCTTTGTTTTGAAGAAACCAGTGCTACACGTGAGTGGCAGGTCCTTTTGGGGGAAACAAATTGGTGTTCTCTTGGCTTTTTCCAGTTGTTAAATTGAAAGCGTGTAGGAAATGATGCCTCTTTTTGACGTTCTATAAAGGCCATTTTGCAGAGAGCATATGTTACTTTTGATTAGCATGCCTATTGTGTACTGTAAATCCAGCACAGTTTGACCGCAATGTTAAAAACTACAAATGTCAATAAAAAGTTTTTAAATTTAATTTTTTTTATTGTTGGTTTTTTGGATTTGCTTAATTTTCTTTTTTTTTTTAAGTTTTTACTTTTATAACATAAGAAAGTGAATGTTGTAATCCTTCATTGAAAGACCCTTTACATGTGCTTACTTCAGCAGCACTGCACTGCTTTTGTATTCTAAAACTAGCAAGGAATTAAACCACTTATTAAAGCACATATACTTATCTGGTTGAATAGCATGCATCACTTTTTCTCTTTGAGCTTGATCTGTAAATTTGTGAGTGCATGACATGAAAAGGCATGTCTGCAACATTTCTGTTACCGCTCCATTTTCCCCCTAGCAGAGACTTGGTTTTTTCACAAAAGTTACTTAATGTGCATTGTTATTTTGAATAGTGAATGTCTTTGCCAAGTTCTGTTTTTGCAGTTAATACAATATAAGAACACAGTAAGTTTTACAGTGGAACCTTCAGAGGCTTTTAAAATAAGTACTGGTAGAAGGCTTCACTGAAACAAGTCAAAATGCATTGAAACATTTGCTCTAGCTTTTCCATTTTATAAAGCCTTAATGCGAAAGATAAGCACTACAAACTGTATTAATCATGAATGTAAGAACTTCCAAACTGTTCCTCTCTAAGGTTCTCCAGCAGAACTGTCACCCAGCACGCTTTCGCCTGTCAATCACAGCATGGGTAAGAACAAAGTCTGTTATATAATCACTTACATTTTGAGTAGCAAACTTAAATATGTATTACTTAAAGAATGGTTCAATTAATAATCTTTTCAAGTGTCAGTCTTGGTACACTTGAAGCATTAAGTAACATCAGCTGGCAGAGGATTTGGGTTATGGTGACTGTTTCCTCACCTGTAAATCGGTATGCATGACTAAGACGTGTAATATTAAATTCTGAAAATGTAAACATTATTCCTGCTCAGCCGTACTTTTCCTTAACTTACACCTGGATATCTCTTTGATTTTTTTATATATTAAAAACTCCATAGCTGTTTACATAATTACTTGCAGGTTATGCTTCAGTTTTATTTTGTGTGAAGTTGCATGTACTGAAAATCTAAACTGTCAAAACGCAAAAAATAGACAAATGCTGTAATAATTTATTATCCAATTTATTATACATTACCATGGTCTGTTAAGTACTTTCTATGCGTATGCAGTTTAAAAGATGGGAAAAAATGGTAAATGTTGCAAAGAAAAGATTTTTCTATCGCAAACTGAGCATTTGTTTTTTCATGCCACGTGCGTTTTTGAATGGAAACCAACTTTGTTTCTCTTATTCATAGATCTGCAGCCAGTGACGTACTCGGAGCCAGCCTTTTGGTGTTCTATAGCATATTACGAGTTAAATCAGCGCGTCGGAGAGACTTTTCATGCTTCTCAGCCCTCCTTGACTGTAGATGGGTTTACAGACCCCTCTAACTCTGAAAGGTTTTGTTTGGGCTTGCTGTCTAATGTTAACAGAAACGCAACAGTGGAAATGACCAGAAGACACATAGGTAAGTTTTCGGAATTGTTTTAATGAATCCTGCTCAAGTCCAATTTTGTTAATATGATTTAACATGTAAAGACTTCAGTGAATTGTCCATGGGTAAAACCAAGCTAATTTTCTGCTAGCAGATGTAAAAGTAATGTCCATTTAGGTTATCTGTAGTAAAAGGAACTAGACTATAATTAGAGCTTACATTTCAGTTCACCGCCTTAAACTTCTCCAACTTATTTGGTTTAACAAAAGCTTAAAAAAATCTGTTAATGTAAACAAGGTTTGTACCTCTTAATTTCATGAACTGTTGATTTTTTTTTTTGCCTGTTTTGAAACTGGAATACTTCTGACAGGCAATCAATTAATCACGCATCGCAAAGACAGTTTTCTTTTCAAGCCAGTTCAAGCACTCATATTGGTTATTCTTACCGTGTAATATGAGAGATGTGCTGTCAGATATTCTGTATAGAATATCTCTGTTCTTGCGTTTTGCTCATTTTGATTTTGATTATTACAAAGGATCTTTAACCTGTAGAACATTGCATGCATTTCGCTTAATGGTAGAAGACAGAGAGCTTGAAAGCTGTATAGTTGAAAGAGAGATGTTATTGAAAATAAGCATCAACATCTTAAATGGTCTAGATGTAATACAAAAGCATGAGTTGCACTTAAGTTATAGAAGACTGCTTTTAAGCAGTAATTATGATTTTTCAGTGTGCTTTGGTCTTTACTTGAGTAAAAATAACATTGTTTTTCTTGTAATTAAAATGTGAGGTCTCATTGTGTTCCTACAGGGAGAGGTGTGAGACTTTACTACATTGGTGGTGAAGTTTTTGCCGAGTGTCTGAGTGACAGTGCTATTTTTGTTCAAAGTCCAAACTGCAACCAGAGATATGGATGGCATCCTGCAACTGTCTGTAAAATTCCACCAGGTGAGCACCTGCAACCATTAAAAAAACTGCAATTGTTTCTCTAGTCTTTCAAACTGTATGCTTCCATACAGTTTGAAATTCTAAAAGATTACTTCTAGTTGTATGTATTTGAGCATGCATATTGCATATGGTCAAGTATGGGCATATTGCATTGAAAACTCTATAATATTCCAGTGGCCTTAGATGGCTATAGACCCCTTTTTACAGGTGGTACCTCAAAACAGCTGAAATTAATGAGGAAAGCAACTATAAATATACTTCTCTGCATTTCTTAGTAAACGTAATTTATGAATAGCACAACTTGTGTGTTATTCTAATTCCGACCTTTCCGGATTTAGCTATTGGGGGGGTTTTGTAGCAGCTTCGTAAGGATATTTATCAGGTTAGGACAAATTAAATCAATCACATATTTGTCTAATAGGACAGTGAAATGCTGCTTGCTTTGAAGTACTGAAGTGGAGCAGTTTATAAGAGTAAAGTGTGATCCTGTACAACAGGGCTAAAAGTATGGGACTGAAGTGTTAAGTTTCACAGAGGCATTTTGCTAAATGTTTGCATTGTACAATAGCAGAAGGATGTATATCTTAAGGGTTAGGAGTCGGGGCTTGTAACTGGAAAGCTATGGGTTCAAATACTGGGTGACACTGCTGTTGTCCACATGAGCAAGATGGTTCCCTCAAATTGCTTTAGTAAAATGCCCTCTGTAGAAAATGGCACAAACGTAAGTTGCTATGGATAAAAAGATTCAGCTAAATCAATCATTCATCACTAAGAATTTGTTGATGCCCAGCATTTAGCCTCTGAGGAGAAAATATTCTAACTACTGCTTTGTAACGTTAGGTCATTGTATTTATATGTTGGTGTCTTGTGGTTTACATAGGCAGAGAAATAATTCAGATGGTTTCCTTATTCTGTTCTGTACTTTATTTGTGAAAGGAACACAGTTTTATTGAATAAAACACAAAATGGTCATGAGTTGGAAAGGAAAAATGAAGCAACTTTTCTGGTAGAACTTCATTAAATTAAGACCATTTTTCTTATTTTAAAATAAAATCCTTCAGTCGGTGAGGAGTCGAAGAGGGCTGTTGGTATTACTTTTTTTGAACAGTGTTTGAAACTTTCTGACATAGACCTATGGATATAGCACCCCTTTTCTATGTACAGGTATGTGTGTTAAAAAATTCTTTTCTCCTTTACAGGATGCAATCTTAAGATTTTCAACAATCAGGAATTTGCTGCACTACTTGCTCAGTCAGTCAACCAGGGCTTTGAGGCTGTGTACCAGTTAACCAGGATGTGCACCATCAGGATGAGCTTTGTTAAAGGATGGGGTGCAGAATACAGGTACGTTAGAGTACAGAAAGTTACAGTGTCTAGGTGGATACATTTCAAAGGTGTAATTACTTAAATTTTCCATATTATTTTTAAGATTCTGCTACAGCTTGAGCATGATAGTGTCAGCAGATGAGAGTAATCTTAGAGGCATGATATTCAATTAACTGTCTAGTTTAAAATCCCAGTCCTTGAGTCCCACACACCTGCTGGTGTTTATTCCATTTGAGATTTTGATTACATAATTGAACCCTTAATTGACCTGATTAATTTGAGCTCTAATCATTTTCTGCTCTTAAATTTGGGATTTGCCCTTAAGCTATTGTGTTTCACAAGTTACTTAACATTTTCAGCTTTTGAAGTGGGGGAAAATGACATTTTGCAGTCAGGCAGTTTGTTTTGGATTCAATTCACTAGAGATCAGATGGAACAAAAACATGTGGGTGTGGAGGTCATGAGGCAGCCTTAAATACTAAAACATGAGTTTAATTTTAATCACAAAATTTTATAGGTGAGTATGCACCTTATGATAGTTGTATTTAGGAACATCTGGTTAATTGTAGGATGGCACAGTGACCAGCATTGCTGCTGTACAGTGCCGCGATCCTGGGTTCAATTCTGGAACTAGTATACTATCTGTGTGGAGTTTGTATGTTCTTCAATTGTTCACATAGGTGTCCTCCAGGTTCTTAGGTGTCCTCTCCCAGTCCAAGAAATGTCTGAGAAAATAGGCCCTAGTTGTGGATGTGTGGCTTTCTGAGTTTGTTTGCATGTCCCGCAGTGGACTGGAAGGGTGTATCCTGTCTTGTGCCCGCTACTTGCTAGGGCACAAGACAGGATAGTGGAAGATTCACAATTAAAAGGGTGAATATCTTATTTTCAGGCGACAGACTGTGACGAGCACTCCTTGCTGGATTGAGCTGCACTTGAACGGACCGCTTCAATGGCTGGATAAAGTGCTGACACAGATGGGCTCTCCTTCAGTCCGCTGCTCAAGCATGTCATAATAGCCCACCCCGACAGGGACGAACACAATGGAGTCTCCTGGGAAAAAAAAGAGAAGACTTGCTATAACCTGTCTTTCATAGTACTTGTGACCCCACAGACTTTTTCACTGTTAAAAACAGAAATGGCACTTGATGTCCCATCAGCTTAATGCACCTTGTTTAATTCTTTACCCCATACCCTAAATATTAAATGTGTTAGTCTTAGAAAATAAATATATCTTGACTTAGAAGTATGGGGATGGATTGTAGACAGGTGGGGAGGGGGGAGTAATACCAGAAGACATTTAACACTTGGCATAGCATTACAACGTTTTTTAAATGAGTGTAACATAAAACTAAATTTTGGCCGGAGAAAACGTATACTTGATCAATAATTCTGGTTCCCTTAAGAAAGCATTTCATTGTGCTTTCTGACCTCTCTCAGCTGTACCAAGTTAGTATTTTCTGGAAAAAAAATTCAGGATATTCAGGAAAAGAAGTATATTAGCCATTTTTTGTTACAAAAGGAATGCCAAATAAGAGGCTGAAATTTCTTGAGTTTTTTTTTCTTACCTTCTCCCCACTACTGGAGAATGTTGCCTTGTTAGTCCTGAGGTGTGCTGTTATAAGACATGCTTCATCTAATCTATGGAAAACAGGAATGTTAAAAATTACTGGGCATGCAGCTTTTCAGTATTTTTTTAAATGGGAATTGCCCTATTCCCTTCTCAACAAGTGCATCATGTGTGGACACTGCCCATGGTTCACTCCTGAAGGGCAAATCATTTCCACATTTACACTGCCTGTTTACATTCAGTACTGATTTTCTTTTGCTACGGAGGTTTAAAAAAAAAAGATCATCAAGTGTCCTGACACCTCTGATTCCTTTCAAGTGTTTTTAGTATTGCAACTAAAGTGTGAAGGGTGGGTGAAGCACATAACGATGTGAACATCGTTACTTGCGGTGTATTTAAATTGGCCAGATTTTTCCTTTCCACTTCTCCATCTTTTTTTTTATTCTCTTGTATTTATATATCCTTTTAAAAAACTTTAGCTCGCATCCTTTTTATTAAAATTAAAAGTTTTTGACCACATCCTGTTTTTAAGGGAATGGAGTGAGTCCAGTAGCAAAATAATTGTGTAAGGATGAATCATCCTCAAGAAAAAGCTACTTGTGGGTTTCTCACAGTTTTTTACATTTGAATCACATCGCAGAACATGCTGCCTTAGTCAACACTTTCCCCACAATCTTGGAGTGCTAGATTTCAAGAAGCAATCGATGAAATTTTTAGTTAAATAGTTGAAGGGGTGCAATAAAATGTATTTCACCACTAGAACTTAAAAAATGCCTCTTACCTGAGCTTTTTATATATATATAATGACTTAACTGGGTCTTGTTTCCTTTGAAGTATGTTGCTACACAACTGGGTTCATTTTGGGCAATCTTTTGGTTTTGATTAACAATCTTCACAAAGTACATATGATGCTGGAGCATTGGGTGCTGAGTGGAAAGATAAATACAGAATTCTAGCAGTGTTCTGCCAGCTTGCATCAGGGTCGGGTGGGTAATAAGACCGCTATAGGGAGGGGGTAATGTAACTTGTGTATATATATATATTTAAAAATATGTACATCTTACTAACAACTCTGTGATCTAGCTGTCTGTCATTCTTTACTTGTTGTGGCAGTAGCAAGATTTTTAAATGTCTTTCCTCCCCTGCCCCCTTCCTTCTCATTGTTGGTTCCTATCTTATTACACTAGCAATTGTACTTTGTAAGTGCAACTAGTGATTAGCTTTGAGAACAAAAATGTGGCCAGTGTTATAGCTTTGAATCAGCAGTGGCAGTAGAGGCCAAGACAGAATATTCTGCTTGCCATAAAGGGTTGGGTGTGAAAATGATACCAAATAGAAATGAACATGGGCCAGACGAATATATATATATACGTTTTATTTTATTTTTTATTTTGGCAAAGCGTTTTAACAGTTGGTGAGCTTGTTTTACCAGTAGACAGATGTATTGGTAGAACATGTGAACTTCAGGCGATAAGCTTTCAGGCGTGTTGCATATGCAGACTTCATAAATACACTAATAAAGGTTTTAATTCTCATGACCTTGGTCTCAACTGAGTGTTCTCTGAAAAATACAAAACTTTGAAGAAGTTTAAATAAAAACAGTTTTTTCAACAAAGTATGGTTACTGGAGACAGTGCTCTATCTAATGTGGGTAGACAGATCCTGATCTCAAAAGGACGTATCATTTTCATTCCACCTGTAAATTAAAGTACTTGAAAGTGAAGTGTACTTGATTGCGCTTTTTGTCATTTTCTAAGTTGACCAAGTTTACTATTAGTCTAAAAATGTAAGACTGCACTTTACACAGTTTTTTAGGTACCAAGTCTTTCATGCTATGATGATTTTTTATATTTGTTCATTATTATATATGGTACCATGTAATAAAGACTGCAAAACACCAGGGTTAACCACATTTAGACATGGTTATAGGTTTGAGATATTTTATTTCTTGCCTTAATAGATACGTTGCATAAGCAATTGCATGTTTATATTTGCATGTTGCAAAGCAATTGCACAGCTTTGTTTTCCTTATTTGATTCTAACATCAATGTATAGATTTCATTACAAGGCACCAACTTTTTATAAATACACTTAATATTTCATTGCACAGTACTGTTAAACTGTCCACTATTGAAAAGCAAGCAGTTGTGAGTTCAGTAACCATTAATATAACATCTAAACAGAATATCTAAGAAGTAAATTGTACTGCAGATTATTCTACTGCAATGTTTCACAGCCCTGTGAGAGCTGAAAACGTACTTCTCAGTGACAAAAAAGAACTTGAATGATGAAATGACTTAAATATCCATTAAGGAACACCATCGAAGCACACAATATTTTCCAAAAGATTTATCTAGAGTTCAGTGTTTAATGAAATTTGGAGACTGTTCTCCCATTCCTACATGATATCCTTTGAAGTGCAACTGAAATATTTATTTAATAGGAGAGCGATTTGTACAACTCGCAATGTATGGTTTTTGCATGACGTCCAGTAATCAACAGTATTTACAACTGATTGGCTTCTGATGTTCCAGTGTTTCATCTGTAACCTGTAACACTACTATTCACGCACTGCCTTTAGTTGCCAAGAAACAGCACATTATTCTGGTATTTAGAAAATAAGTGAATTGCAAAACCAGGAATTTGTAAATCACATGTGATTTCCAGCAATGCTGTTATTAAAGATTTCCAGTATCCACAGACCAGATATTACGAGAAATTTAGTAAGTCCATCATTTCTTTCATCTCAATTTCTGATAAAGAACGATAGGAGATTTTCAGGCTTTCCAGATTGTTCAAAATTTGCATTGTTTTCTCTAAGTTAATCTGATTTAAAAATTGAAGTATTTGTAATTAATATTAATGTACGTTTGGTATGCTATGATCATGCTAAATTTTCTTAGTGAGATTTTCTTCTACAAATTTATTCATTTCGTGGGGAATCTATCTTATTAAATCTAGAACACTACAAGGTAAGGGAGCAAATTTAAAGTTTGTAAAATGCTAAACATGATTCAAACTGGTTTGAAACAAGATGTGGAATCTTTTAAGGCTCAAAAGGATTACTGTGGAATGCGGCCACAGGTAAGGTCCTGAAATCTTGCTGAAAAAGAAATGCCACTCTGGAGCTCCCTGTAGTCCTTTAATTCCAGCAGTGTATTATCTTGTCAATAATGGTACCAGGCTGTAAATATTCCTGCTCTGCAGACACCTGCTTTGAGCTACTGCTGACTTAAAAAAAATCAATAAGTAATCCTGCTGTCACAAGTGTGTGGACATCATCCAATGCAACATCCTAGAGTATATCTAGGATCCAAATCCAAGTGATATTTATATGAGAATTTACATATTTGACCCAGGCATTGAGACGGCTGTACTAAGTATATGCTTTATTAACACCTACATTATCTGTATTAAAAATTGTGACGGTCATCAAGTTCCTTAACTGTGGGGATCCCTAATGTTGCACCCGAATGGTTCGTGTCTCTACAGGTTTCAGTCCACCTGGGCTCACAGCAATCTGAATCCGCTCCTTATTTGCTTAATCAGATCTACAGTATAACACTTACAAAGATGTTACCTCGACCTTTTCCTGACATGCACTTTATCGTTTGAAGGCTTTCACAGTAAATTTCCGTAGCCTTATTCTAAATTAAAAAAAAAACATTGTAATATTTTTCAATCTGGTATTCTAATATTAGGTAGAACAATAGTGCGCTCTTGTGGTTGTTACAGTATGAAGAAGAAAATGTATGTACAATTGCAATGAATTAAGGCCACTAGAGGGAGGCAGAGATCATTAAATACAACGATCATCTAAACCTTTTTTACTGCAATTAGCATGGTGATTACAAACAGGACAACAACAAAATGGCTTCTTATGGAAGCAATTAAGTCATAAACCTAGCACAGTATTTAAATCACTACTGAAAATTGTACCAATTGGTTAGAATATGGAAAAGATCCTAGTAAGTAGAGGCTACATTTAAAGAGAAAGTCAATGTCAATAAAAATCACTGCTTGTGATACATAGTTATAAGTGTTTTTTTTTGTGGTGCGAATCCAGTGTAAGTTAATACATTATGAGTAGTTTAAATATTTTAACTACTACTGCTATTTCTGCTGCTTTTAGTTGATATTGGTTTGCAACTCATCCTCAATCTATTTAATGGGGACTTAATCGAGTTGTCCTCAGTGATAACGTTTATAAATCTAAAACTCAAGCATTGATACTTTCCTATAATATAATTCTTGGTCAATTAACAGATTGTCATTTTCGACATCCTCTAGTGTTTTCCACTTGTATAACAACTTTGTTTTTAATACAGCTCATCTTGTCATAAAGCAATTTTTCATTCACACTGATCAGAACCTTCCAAAACTTGATCATAACTAAAAGTGAACATCGAGTGTCATAGTGGCGTATATATTACATTTACCAAACTTACTGTAAGTTAAGGTGTGTTGTAATACTCGTCACTTAATCGCTAGCTCCCGTTGCGTGGTACTATATTTACAATTTTAAAAAATGTGATTACTTAATTGACAAGAGTTCCCCATCATTCAACCCCCATTGTTCTCTATTCTCCGATCCCATAATCTCATATACCTTTAATTAATGCATAAAAATAAACTAGCAACAAATTAAAAAATAATCGGTTTGTGAGACGCTCAGTGGATGGATGAGACATGATGGCTATTGAAATGGTTTCTCATCGGTAATGTTTTGCATTCTGTGCATTTCCAACATCATCTGCAAAATAGTGCGTGCATTATTCTATGTAGGGTGTATGGACAGGTCCATTGGTCTGAATTTGAGTTTTTCTTTATGGTGTAATTGATTGATTTATTTAATTGATAGTGATTGTTTTTCATGTTTGTAAAAAATGTGGATTGTCATTCAGTAATAGATGTTGTTTTAAAATATGTGATTTAACATAGAAAAACAAATTCCACCAATACATATATACAAGAATATAATGAATCGAGATAACGTTGGAATCCGGGTGAATTAAAATGGGAAAGTTTTCGTACCCAACAGGACCTAATTTTATAGTTCTCGTAGCCAGTCAACATACAGAGGGATTTTCTAGTCCCTTGCAAAATAGATGTGGAGAAACGATTATAAAGCTAATTGAAAGAGTTTAACATTCCAGAACTTGGAACACGACCTGTCCGTCAGAGAAGAAATTAAATCATGACGAGCTTTCAGAATAAAATTCGATCTTCCAGACAGAAGCTAATGCGCCACGGAAATGCAAGAAAGGGCTTTGTTAATTTTTAGAGCATAAGGAAGAATCACCATCATGTATAAGTTATAACTCCTAATTAAAACATTGTCATAACCTATACTTGACCTGGCAGAGACAACAATAGCTTCTCCGGCCTCCTTTGTATCGTGCCTTCTGTCTTGACTAGAGTCAAATGTTGGATGTCAGTGGAAGGCACGTTGCTAGCCCTTTTGGCAAAGCTGAAGTCTTGTAACCCGAGCACTCGACCCCACCGAAAATTAATTAGTCCCAAATGAGTTTTCCACTCACCGTAGTCGCCCACAAAAGACTGGGCACTCAAGAACACAAGTCGTACAGTCACCCATGACTCGGCTCTCAAGAAACCTCAGAAGAAATGTCCCTTTTAGGTCTTTGAAGTGATCAGTTACCGAAACTAGATTATTGTAGTGTAAAAGTCAAAACAGTGTCCTCTCTTCCACTGGAAAATGTATTTAGTCATCCGTCTCCCCCAAGAAACATCTTCTATAGGCGCCCGATGTTGAAATAGAAATTGATCAAACATTAAAAGAATAATCATAGAACTGCTAAAATATTAGTCCTGGTAATGGGAGTAATATGGAATAACAGAATTCTAACACAGAGTGCTTAATTTTGCTACCGAAACTAACTTGTGTTAAATTAGAGCAATCAACACGGTTCTGGGATTCTTGCATTGAAGAAATGAATGACGCTCTACACTAGTACGTAAGCTTCTTTGATTTTATTTCGAATAATTTATATTGTACTTTGATACTAAAAAGTATCAAAGTACAATACATTTTATATATTTGATACTGAATCAAAATTTAAATAACACACAAGCATTATTAACAAGTACGCTTTATTTGTTCAGCGACCTACTTGTAAAATATAAATTGTAAAAAATACACTTTCACATGTTTTTTTCTTATAATAAATTATTCGTTTCGTTACTTCTGTGAGTTATGTTAAATGCTATGTTTATTAAATATCAATTTGTGTAGTAATCGTAAAGAAAATATTTTAATAGAATCGGGTGATAGTGAATACGGGGCAGGCTAAAACCCGCTTGACATTTCCACAGATATTAGCAATAGTGATCATATTACCAACCTGCATTTCTTGTACCTAACACTAGGTGGCAGAAGCGCAGGGCGAATCGCACAAAAAACAGGATACATCTGTGTCTGAGCAGTGATTGTATTACGCTCTTCATTCTTAGGGTGATTTAAAGCAATTAAACAGATAATTATTGCCGTCGTAATGAGTACTTTTCTTAGCGAATTAGGTTGCCTTTTATTAGAAGCAGCTTGCAGTTGCCAGTTTCTTGTCCCAATCTACTGCGAGATGTACAGGCAGAGTCTACAACAGATCTCCGCGTTATTTGACCCAGCGCCCCAGGAGTGTCAGGCTCACTTTAAGATCACGGAGCCCAATGACCCATTTGAGTTAATTAAAGCCTGTTTTTTTCTTC